GGGCATTATAAGCCCATCCTGAATACTTCAGTAACTCGCATGGTCATGTGGCCATCCAAGACGTGCTGAATAGGGGTCTGTTCAAATGCTTTAAAAAAAAATAATAACAAAAGAGATGTTCAAATTGTTCGATAATCTATTCCACCACAAAAATTAGAGGAAGTGGGGAACCGGAAAATGCTAACTGAATTCATTCAGCCCAAAAGAGAAAGACTCCAGCACCTCTCCACCAGTAATCAGCACCCAGATCAGCATAGATTAACTCCAAGGTTAACTTCAGACGAATCAAGTAAGCAATACCCCAATGAAGAAACTGCCAAAGAGCCATCAGTAAACAGCCCAACCAAAGAATCTCTAAGACCACCTCTACCCACATTGACAGGCAAGACACCAGACTATAACCTGACAGCAAACATCACTCCTTATTAGCACTGATGATGTTACCTGGTTATCGTAATGCAATGATTACAAGAAAACAAGCAAGTTCAGAGAGCACCAAGGACCCCTCATTTCAACTCTGAGCTATCAATATTCTCCTTTATTGAATGAATTCTGGCTAGCATCAGTCCTGCCTAGAATCTGTAGGAAGTGAAACATTCAAAATGATTCATGCCAGGATTCCACATAGGATTTGCTTAAAATTCAGCTACAGTGCTAACATGGCATCATAAGGGGTCAATAGAAGACTGATCAATTACTTGTGCCTCTGTTTTGCATTCCTATTATAATATGTGGGTTACCAAGATTTAGCTGACCCAGTGAGATTCATGTGTCTCACATATTTCATAAAGGAGTACTTGAAAGTATAATATTAATACAACACAATTCAAAAACTATTACATTCTTCAAGTTAATTATGATTATATATCATCTTTTACAGACTTGCATTTGAATGCGTGCAGAAGACATTGCCTTATGTTGGCCTATTGAATTCAATGTTATATATACTGCAAGTACACACACACAGAGGTCTTTTAAACCTATTTTAATACAGTCAAGTTTAGCCTAGGACCTTGGTGCTTTATTACTTTGCTATAATGTGTAATAAAATATACAAGGGCAATGTAGTAAACACATATAACAACCTGACTGTAAGCTGAATAGTTCTGTGCACAAAATGTTGGTATAGGAAACCTGCCTTGACTGGAAATGGAAAAGCTCAGGCATATTCTCCTTTCAGCCTGCCTCTCCCTCTGCCTTCTTGGCATGACAATCCAAGCTGAATAGGAGATATCACCCCACTGTGCTTTCTCGCTCCAGAGAAAGGAACACTAGAGTTGAGCAGTTAAATGAGAAGGAGGAGAAGCAGAAAGCAGCAGATGCCATGCTTTAATGTTCAAGAATGCAAATTGGGTTTTTGCACTACTGCTGGCTGTTTGAGATAATACTTAATGCAGTTTTAAGCCTATCAGATGTACCCCAAAGATTGTATGTTAGTAATAGTAGCTCTTTTCTATTTAATACCTCTCAGTCATGGCGATCTGTTCCAACATGGCAGAACCTGTGTTTGCTTTCCAGTTTCCAGAGATCGATGTCCTCCTGGGAAAAACAAACAAGCCATATGAGAACAATCAATGCTCCCAAACATTGTAATTCCTCTCCAAACTGAACAAAGGAGGGAAAAAATGAGGGAAGCAGGACAGACTGAGTTGGCACAAAATCCTTTCAGAGCCCTGCTGTCTTCGAAGCTTTTAACTGTTGCTGATGATTCAGTCAATGCGTAACACCATCCATAAGCTGGAAATGGCCCTCTAAATGCTGGCAGCCTCCCACATAGTTACATCTTTATCCAAATCCTTGTTGGGTGTTCTTATATCAGCCTTATGAACTCTTTTGCAGGGTATGCCAGGCATTGTCCAGTAGAAATGCCTGTGAAAAGGCTGTGGAATAATTAACCTTGCCCACTGTAGCATAGAATTTAAACTGCTCATGAAGTTCTATGCCAAAAAAGCCAAGCAAAAGCTTCCCACAGAAATCAGTGAGCTTTAGAATTGGCCTTAAAAAAAGGGAGATGATAGGATAAAAAGCTAAACCAGTGACTTTCATTGAGGTCTGCTTCCTATTGTGATAGAAATACAGCTATCTCTTCTGACAGAGATTGAATGGCACTAAAAACCACCCACTGACTTTCTCCCACTGATTCCTCAAGTGGTATTAAAGGACTCAAGTCCTTTTTTTTTGTAACTGGTTATTAATGCCTGTGCTTGCTGGTAGTGCCGCTGGCAGACTTGGTCTACTGAAATTACATTTAGAATGTAGCATCTACAAAATCGGCCCGCTGCATGATCAGATACTATGATCAAATGTCAGCTTTCACAGGCTCTTGATGGGCATCATCAGAAAGGTATGAGAACATAGCTGTCTTCTGAAAAGTAGAACATTTTGAAACTAATATTCAGAATTTTAATTTCATTATCAGCCATGGTACCAGCTTTGAGCGCATCACTTGTTACAGTGATACAAATGTTTTTCCACACACTGGAAGAGAACTAACTATAAGATACATTTAATTACATTTTAGATGATGCTTGGGTAAGACCAACACAATGTGGTTTAATGTTTACAGCAAAGGCTAAGCAAGATATATGGAGAGGTTCCTTCAAATACATTATTATTCTGTTAAGGAAACGATATTGACAAGCTAAGGAAGTGCTAATCTTTCTGGACTTTTAAAAATCATTTCAGATCAAGAGCTGAATCTACTTTACAATTTTGGCTGATGTCTCCTCCTTGTGCAGTCTTAACTTTTGTAAGGTAGCATCTCTTCTGCCCTCAAGTAAAAGTAAAAGTTCCCCTCACACATATGTGCTAGTCATTCCCGACTCTAGGGGGTGGTGCTTATCTCCGTTTCAAAGCCAAAGAGCCAGCGCTGTCCGAAGATGACTCCATGATCATGTAGCTGGCATGACTAAATGCCAAAGGCACACGGAATGCTGTTACCTTCCCATCAAAGGTGGTCCCTATTTTTCTATTTGCCTTTTTATGTGCTTTTGAACTGTTGGTTGGCAGAAGCTGGGACAAGTAACGGGAGCTCACTCCATTACATGGCACTAGGGATTTGAACCACTGAACTGCTGACCTTTCTGATCAACAAGCTCAGTGTCTTACCATCTCCTAGAT